GCCCTATACTTGCGTATTTTTCTTCTCTTGGGCAAACTGAGTAGAACCATGTGGCACCTTAATCCTCTCATTTTTCATTCGGAGACAACGATAACTACCACTAGTGATGTGTTCCATTTTACATCTGCCTTTCAAACTTCGAAAATGAATCAAGAGTTCCCTATTATCCGTAACATACTCGATTCTTGATTTTGTCTTTAAGGAATAAATTGCATAAGATTCTTTGGAATAGTTTAACCCACCTCTTTTTCCAGGAGTCAACCCACCTAATTTGGCATATACCATTATTGCTGGATGACTTATTTTATATTTTCAAACTTCGTGACCAGAAGATATATTTCTCTCACCTCCTCACCACTATCAAAGATGGCACATGCATTGATGCCATGGACACCTTTTGTGCTTGAAAGAAAGGCATGAAGTGTTTTTGCTAGAACTAAACCATCAGAAAAAATACCTTTTGTTGGCAAGGCAAAAATCAAGCACATAACATATAGTGTCCTCTTTTAACAAACTTGCAAAATTGGAATGAAACTGGAACAAACCTCTAACGTGCTAAACACCAATCTCATTCGACTGGCAACTACGGATGGCTCCTCAGCAGATCCCATGACAGCCATTTGCTCAAGCTGCAGAGTTTTTACTGGAAACCTGTAATTGAGAAAGAAAAATCCACAGATTACAAAGGAATTATGTTTCTGACAAGAGCAACTTGAATATGCCTTTGGTTCATGTATAGCAGCTTATAATAATAGAATACACAATACAAGCTACCAATTAAAAATAAAGGAATAGGAGTTACCAAAAAATCATAGAAATAGACCCCTTTTTTATGTTATTCTAATCTTGAGGAACGGAATTGCCACTGACTATCAGGTAAGTAATGCCAAAATGTGACATGGAGTCTATCGGTTCTGAAATAATGGTCAAGACAATGCCACATGAAAGCAAATCTTTAGGGAAAAACGTATTATCAAACAATTATGTAAGTGTTTTCTACAAAAAAAACTACATGAACCCTAGATTTATTATCAAATAATTATGTATGTATTCCCTACAAAAAATAGTGTTTGCTTAGGAAGCTTTGTTAATAAGAAATTATGTATAATGTTGACTACAAGTTGACTATAACAACATATTCAATAAACATTCATTTCTTAAGTCACTTTGGAAATTTTTGATAGAGAGCATGTTCCTCACTCATTTTTAGTATATAAACAGAAATAGGGGCAAAAGAAGTAAACTAGTCTAAACCTAAATAAGAAAGCGATAAAGAAAGCACATGATGTGACATTCTCACTATAAAGCAGAGATATAATGGCTAAGCCATTGAAAATGAAAGTACATTAGAAAAATGGAAAAAGTATGATATAATACAAAAACTACAAAAAAAAAAACTGTAATTCTAAACCTAAGATCACAAATGGGTGGGCATGGGCAGCCGTGATCCCGTGTGAACCGAAGACCTAAGGTTGTAGGAACAAATATTGGCAAGAGATTATAACATGGCATAAATGGCTAAAACTCTTTTAAAGATGTCAGGCTATTACCGATATAAAATTGTTTACAAGGGTAAAATTGTAAATTCTGTTCTTATGTAACTCCTAATGTTATGATGGGCATGTTTGAAAATTGTAATATACATTGTGAATCATTCATATAAAAATTATAAGAATCCAAACCAGGAACTTGTCTTAGACATCCCATTCATTCTTTCCTAGCACATGCTTCCTCCTTTTCTTCCTTCTTGAATTATTTTCATGCTGGATCGATCTAAGAGACTAAGATTGAAATGTGAGATCAAACTCTAATTTTCTTTTCCTCCTTCCCAAAATGGCCCTAAATCTTCTTCACACAAAACTTAATTTCTTCTCAAACCCTAACTCTATTCACAAATCGTAATTGTATTTTCTTCCTTTGTTGAGTATCAAACCCGAATTTTTCTCCTCTCAAACCCTATTTTCTTGTCAAAACTTAAACTCTCTTCTCAAACCCTAGTATGTTCTTGACCCTATACTTTCTTGATCTAATTCCCTTCTCATCTAAAACTTTAGTCTCTTTTACAAACCCCTGTCTCCCTTGTATCATCTCAATCTTTTTCGGTCTTACTTGTTCTTCGCTCAAAATAATCTGATATTTCCTCCACAATTCAAACCTTATTAACCCAAACCAGAATCAGATCCAAAAACTTGTCATATTTTTCTTTATTTTGGCTTCGCACATCGACTGCTTTGATCTTCTAGCTCATATATCAAGTATCTACCCAAAAAAGTTCATTTGTCAAGTTTCTTTCCCTTTTCATTCTTCCAAAAGCAAAAAAGTTCATATATCAAGTTTCTTTCCCTTTTCATTCTTCCAAAAGCCTAAAAAACTTATCTCGTTTCAACCTTAAATTTAGAACCTAACCTTCTCTTTAAACCCTAAGATTTTTTCTTCATCTCAAATATGGCTTCCTGATCTACAAATATCTCTTCCTCATTCAACATGCTTCCACATACGTTCTCGATTCAATTGGATTCTAACAGTTTTATAGCCTGGAAAAGCCAAGTTGTTCCACACTTAATGGGCTAAAATTGATGCGATATCTCCATGAAACCCTATTGAAAGGAGAATGTAGTTAAAGATGGCACAACTGGGTACAACTTGCCAATCCTAAGTACGAGAACTGATTCGCCAGACCAGTCTTTAATCAGTTTGTTAAATTCTACTCTTTCTCATGGCATTTTGCTCAAGAGACAGGTTCTCATTCAGACAAACAACTATGAGATCTTCCTCATGAGATTTATTTTCAATCATCTAAGGCAAGCCTGATGCACAATTCCCATCAACTCCAACAGTGCAAGAGAGACTATATCAACAAGGTGCAGGCACTTTGTAATCAATAGCTGCCATTGGCTATGAGGTTATTGATGATGATCGAGTACCCTACTTGCTTGGAGGGTTAGTTGAAGCATAACATGTTTGTCACATCAGTCATGTCTAGACAACCTACACCTGTTTTCAATAGGCCTTGCCCTCTCTTATTGCAACATGAAGCTTTATTCAAGAAAAATAGTCATAGGTAAATGAAGATAATCATGATGTATCAACTGCCAATTCTTAAAAAATTTAGCACTTCTAGTTAGGCCGTGGAAGAAGGAACAACTGCAGTCGTGGACTTGGTCAATTCTATCCCCTTGACCAATATTATGGAAACCAATGATATGTTGGTCATAACAATCAGCAATAAGGACACAATGCTCGAGAAATTTTACTGATGCCTAGTCAGTTTGCAAATGCCAATCAACACATTAAATGTCAGCTTTTGTGGAAAAAGGAGCACACCGCCTCCTAGTTTTCCCATAACATGATCCGGTGCTTTAAAATAATGCTACTGCCCTGACACATTCAATTGCCAATCTGAACATAACTAATGCAGATCAAATTACTGCTCTAAAGTATCCAAATAAAATAAACAAGTTTGAAGTTCACAAAAGGAATTGCAAAAGGGAAAATTAGTCATTCACTCTGTCCTTTTATTTCTTTTCTTTTGTTTGAGTCATGTTATTCACTTAGGGGCATAAATAGTAATTTCTAGAGTCTTTTATGTCTTCTTTTCACTTTAAGTCTTTTGTAATAATGGCCATGATTAGATTAGTTAGATGGTCAAGATTAAGTCTTGTTTAGGGTTGTACTATATGAGGGATGTACTAAAGCATAATGAAGCATCTTGTTATCTTGTCGTGGACTTCTATCCAAAACCTTAGGGCAGCAAGTACTCCTTCATTTATCTCTCGGTTTTTAATCTTTTCGTAACTTTGGAAATTTCATGTCTTCTTCGTTGCTAAACCCTAGCTCCAAGCTACTAAGCCTATGTCAAATTTATATTAGAGCCCAACGATTAGTACGGACGGTAGTGCACACAAAACTGTAGCATCTATTTTTGTGCCCAAGATAAAAAACCAAGCCTCCACGCAGAGGTAAAGGAGGAATGTGGCAACCTTAGAAGCCTTTGATGCTAGTTCGCATGAAGGGATTGCAGATCTTAGGAGATTGGTCGAAACCCTAGCTTTGCATTTGGCACAAATGGAAGCCCCATCTCAAGAGGATGAGATTGAGGCAGATGAGGAATCTATAAATCCCTTACATGATCAAGCTCAAGGAGAGAGGTAGCTAATTATATTGAAGATATAGTAGGAGGTGAGAAACCAGTCTTATTGAGATCCCAAAGTGTCATGGAACTCTATCTGACGACAATCATGGAGAAACTTTATTCTCATCAAATGGTTCTCAAGATCAGCACGTTGTGGACTGGAACTCACAACCAATTTTTGACAAGTACTTGGATGAAGATCTAGGTATTGAAAAAGAAGTAGGTGATCACAACTTTAATGGTGATCCAACCAACAAAGAGGATCAAGAAGACCCTACCATTGAAGAGGATTTTGTGGATGCTCCCATTCTCGATGAAAAATAGGGTCGTTGTCAAGGAGTTGTTCCCAAAATCTTGAAGGTAAATTGGTTGCTTGTAGTCCCCAAAGAAACTAGCAAGGAGAATGGTGTTGAAGGAGGTAATGATAATGATGTTGTTCTTCTTCGAGTTTTACTTGAATTTAGGGTATCACGTAAAGTTCAAACCAAAGAGTTCAAGATATTTACTCCTGAGCTCTTAGCTGGTGAGTTTGATATAGGTGATTCTCTCCAATGGGTTGCTGAAGGCATTCTCTATGAGACAGCTCAGACTAAGATGTTGCTCTGCTTTGATGGAAGGACCAAATCTATTCCTTATCATCTCCATCCAAAACCTAAACCTAAGGAGCCTAATATTTGCATCTTGACCTCACCAAATTAAGTAAGAACGAGCCTCAGAGTTCAAAGTTTTTCTTGCATCCTAAGAGAAGAGTTTTCCTCGGGTAGGTTTATGATTGACAGTGTTGCGCACTTGTATAGGAGCTGTGTTAGTTTTCAATGTGCACAAAACATAATGGATAAGATATATATGAGAGGCAACATACCCTGAAAATTATTGATCTCTAGTAATTTTTTAGTTGTATATCTTAAAGATTGAGTTATAATATTTCCAGAAGAAAAAAATTATAGGTTTTGGTCTTCTCAAAATACCATTGCTCGTATTGTTACATCAAAATGGAGTAGTGGATGATTGGAGAGTATGGAAGCAGTTAAGCAGGCCCATGCTAAGGCTATGAAATGTGGGTTTGGTTGTAATTTTTGCATCGGCATTGCAATCTCATCAATTCATTGCAAGCTTGGCAATCTCCTTTTGGCGGATTCAACGCTCAATCTTACAAGCCATAGAGGTGAGATTTCCACCAAAGTTAGTTTGAATGGATATCTTCGAGGACATATAATTAGAAGTTATCCATGACTCTTTCCTCCTATGACTGTTCATGGTTTTAAACCAAGTTGTTCTGATTATCATAAGTTGAGCCAATGCAAGATTGGCCCATGTGAAATGGTGCAGAAGAATAATGACAATTCCTACAAAATGAAGCTTCCCAGCCAGATTCGTACTTTCGATGTTTTTAATGTCAAGCATCTCATTCCATATAGTGGTGATACCTCCGACGAAGAACTTTTGAGGAAGAGGGGACTGATGCAGCCCAGAATACTGCTCTCGAGTATCTAGATAAGAGAGACAGCTTTAAAGTTTA